GAGAAGAGGTGGTGGAAGAAGAGACAGAAGACAACGTCAGCGAGTTTTGCTGGGGCATTGAGAGTTTACAAGCTGAACAGAAACACCCCTGAACAAACCACAGACACGGAGCACACCCCAGACACCACTATTCTGCAAAGACTGACAGCGGCTTCTCAGTTCTTAAAAAAACGTATACTTTTGTAGCATTCGGGCACTGCTGCATTTCTGGGGACCATTCAATTCAGTAATCTGGAGAAGATAGAGTTGTACTGCACGGAAACAGACCCTTCCAGCCAACTCGTCCATGCCAACCAGATATCCTAAATTAATCTAGTCCCAATAACTCAAACTGGTTGTTTCAGAGGGCAGTTAAGAGTCAGCCACTTTGCTGTGGGTCTGAGTCACACTTAGGCCAGATTGGGTAAGGATGGCAGATTTCCTTCTCGAAAGGACAGGAATGAACCAGAAGAATTCTTCAATGACTGGTCAGTAAAATCGGTGACCATGAAGCTATCAGACATATTCGATGAATTAAACTTCCTTGCGCTGTCCTGCTGGGATTGGAGCTTCTACCCTTGGATCATGCAAAATGCTCAATTTTGGTCTCCTTGCGAAAGGAACGATGTTGTTAAACATGGAAGGGTTCAAAAAAGATTTACAAGGATGATGCTGGGACTGGAGGGTTTGAGCTATAGGGAAAGGCTGAATAGGCTGGGGCTATTTTCCCTGTAAGAGTAATAGACCTTGAAGGGACTTGACTGGGTGGATTTGGAGAGGATATTCACTCTTGGGGAAAATCTAGAACTGGGGGTCACCATTTAGAAATAAGGGGTTGTCCATTTAAGAGAGATGAGAAACCATTTTTCCCCCTCTCAGATGGTTCAGAGTATTTGAAATTTCCTTCATCATGGAGAGGCTCAGTGGTTAGCATTGCTGCCTCACAGCGCCAGGGACCTGGGTTCGATTCCAGCCTCGGGCGACTGTCTGTGTGGAGTTTGCACATTCTCCCTGTGTCTGCGTGGGTTTCCTCCCACAGTCCAAAGATGTGCAGGTTAGGGTGGACTGGCCATGCTAAAGTGTCCAGGGATGTGCAGGTTAGGTGGATTAGTCATGGGAAATTCAGGGTTACAGGCTGGGGGGCCAGGGGTTCCGAGTCGGGTCTGTGTGAACCTGATGGGCTGAATGGCCTACTCTCACATTGTAGGAATTCTATTAAAGGCAATCAGTGCAGAATCTTTAAATACTATTAGGTAGAAGGAGACAGATTCTTGATGACCAAGGGATGAAGGATTATTTTTGAGGGGGGGGGGGGGGGGGGGGCAGGGACACAGTTGAGCTTAAAATCAGATCAGCCATGATCTTATTGAATGGAGAAGCAGGCTCAAAGGGCCGAGTGGCCTTGTTTGTAAGGAAAGGAAAGGAAAGATTGATGGGTGAGCCCTCAGTTTGAAAATTTTGGGAAACAGCGAGAGAAAGAGATGGGGGAAAAGAGATGGGGGAAGTGCAGGGGAGACCACTGCTGGAGTGCTGTGAACAGTTTTGATGCCCTTATTTATGGAAAGATATTATTTCGTTGGCGGTATTTCAGAAGAGGTTCACTGGGATGATCTCTGACATGGAGGGACTGTCTTATGAGCAAAGGTTAAGTAGGTTGGGACTCTACTCACTGGAGTTTACAAGAATGAGAGATGATCTCATTGAAACATATCAGATTCTTAAGGGGCTTGACATGAGACGATGTTTCCCCTCACGGGAGAGTCTCGGACCAGACGGCAGAGTCTGGGAATAAATGGGGGCCAATTTAAACTGAGATGAGAAGGAATTTCTTCTCTCAGAGGGTTGAGTGCCTTTGGAATCCCTTGCCATAGAGAGCTATGGAGGCAGAGTCCTTGTGTATATTTAAGGTTGAGTTAGATTGTTGATTAGTCGGGGAAGCAAGGCTTATGAGGAAAGGGCAGAAGGGTGGGCATGAGGAATGTTGGATTAGCCGCGATCCTATTGAATGGCACAGCAGATTCGAGGGGCTGAATGGCCTACTCCTGTTCCTACTTCTTATAGGGATGGGGGAAGCCAAGATACATGGGGTTTCAGTGCAGTAGGCGAATGGGTGCGCAGTTATATCACTGCTCATCAACTTAATTATTCATTCATTCACAAACTCTTTAGCTTAACCATTGGTGCAGGTGCCCATCGAACACTCAAAGCTGATACATTTCATTCATTTCCAAGTTCCGGCACTCCTAGCTCCTTTGTAGAAGTGCTCGGAGCTGTCAGGTAGTTAGCAGCAGCTCCCTTGATGGGACTGGAAGCGAGGTATCTGCCACACGCCTCCCTGCAGTCAGAGACAGCAGACTCCTTAGCTCACACCTCCCTGCTCCTGAGCCAGCCGGCAGTAGGGAACATTCCAGCGAGCCATACGGTGCAAAGCAAGTTCTGAATGAGTGAACATTGCGAGCATTCACTCTGCTGCTGCGGTCTTGCCCACAGAGTAAGGGAAAGGAGGATGGGAAGGCATGGATTTAAAGGAACATGCAGGCAACACAAGGGGAAGGTGGGAAAATAAAACCCTCTCACACAGCAAGCGGTTACGATCTGGAAAGCACTGCCTGGCAGACTCGGGTACCAGGGAGACATTCAAGACAGGCATTGGATGGTTACATGGCAGGGTCAGTTGGCAGGACGGCTGCCTTAAAATGCAGAGTGACGTCAACAGTGTGGGTTCCTTTCCCATACCGGCTGAGGTCACCAACAGCCCAGGGCATGGTGACCCCTCAGGTTAAACTCACCCAGCAAGCACCCCTCCCTCAGGACGTAGCAGCCCTACAGCTGTATAGGAGACTTGACCTTCACCTTACTGGATAATAAAGGGTTAAGGGGGCAAAGCCTCAAAATAAGCCGGGAGCAGATTTAGGACTGAGCTGAGGAGGAATTTCTTCACCCAAAGGAATGTGAATCTGCGGAATTCCCTGCCCAGTGAAGCAGTTGAGGCTACCTTGTTGAACGTTTTTAAGACAAAGATAGATTTTCGAACAGTAAGGGAATTAAGGGTTACGGTGAGCAGGTGGGTAAGTGGAGCTGAGTTCACAAAAAGATTACCCATAAATGACAGAACGGGCTTGAGGGGCCAGATGGTCTATCCCATGCTCCTATTTATGTTCTTGTTACTCAAAAAGAGGAGATTGTCTCTCCTCTGTTTCTTTAAGCAATGTGGCAATTGGTGTCCTCTGGCACCGTACTAGTGGTGTGATTCGGAGCTCGGGAGGGGTGAGTTGGCTGTATGATAGATCCCACAGAGCTATAGCCACCAGGTTTGTAACAGTTCACCCAACAAGGGTAAACCAAGGCTGCTCTAATAGAGAGGGGAAGCCCAACACTCATGCATTAGCACCAACACACCATCCTTCTCTGCATCCCACTCCTTCCCCCACTGACAGTGAGGGATGGTGTAGGCCACTGAAACTGGAGCTGCTCACACTTCAGATTAAGCATCTCACAGCACACTGGGCAAAAGTCCAAAGAGTCAAAATGGATTGAGAGGTGGGTGGGCTTGAAAGCCAGCAGACTGCACATTGGTCACAGGACAGAGCACACACCGCGTGGGGGTTGGGGGTGGGGGTCAGGTACATGACTGAGTCATACAGCACAGAAACAGACCCTTCAGTCCAACCAGTCCATGCCAACCATCATCTCAAACTAAACTAGTCCCATCTGCCTGTGTTTGGCCCATATCCCTTCAAACCTTTCCTATACATATACTTATCCAAATGTCTTTCAAACATTGTAACTGTACCCACAGGCACCACTTCCTCTGGAAGTTCATTCTACACACTGAGCACCCTCTAAAAAAATGCCCCTCATGTCTTCTTTCAACCTTTCTCCTCTCACCTTAAAAACATGCCTCCTTGTCTTGAAAACCCCCACCCTTGGGAAAAGACACTTGCCATTCACCCTATCCATGCCCCTCATGATTTTATAAACCTCTATAAAGGTCATCCCCTCAACCTTCTACACTCCAGTGAAATAAGGTCCCAGCCTATCCAGCCTCTCCTTATAACTCAAATGCTCCATTCCTGGCAACATCCTGGAAAATCTCTTCTGGGGCCAGTTCATTAGATATATTCAAGAGAGAACTGGATAGGGCCCTTGTGTGGTCAAAGGGATCAAGGGGTATGGGGAGAAAGTGGGAGTGGGATACTGAAACTGCATGAAACTCCACGACCATATTGAATGTTGGTGCAGACGCCAAGGCCTACTCCTGCACCTATTTTCTATGAACACTCTCCAGCTTAATAATATCCTTTCTACAACAAAAGATGGGGAGGTTCTGAGATTGGTGAGAAGTCCCACTACTTCTCAGTTGGACTCAGTGCTGTGGGCATGATGTGGCAGAGGGTCACCTGGATGACTGCCTGTGGCTTCTAACATCACCAACTGTCCCCCCAACCCCCACCCCTTGACAATGCCTGATTGAACAGCAGGGCAGAACATCGCAGGAAACTTAAAGCCAAGAGCAGCACGGTGGCTCAGTGGTTAGCACTGCTGCCTCACAGCACCAGGGAGCCGGGTTCGATTCCCACCTCGGGCGAATGTCTGCGCAGGAGTTTGCACATTCTCCCCATGTCTGCGTGGGCTTCCTCCAGGTGCTCCGCTTTCCTCCCACAGCCCAAAGGTGGACTGGTCGTAGGAAATTGCCGATAAGTGTCCAGGGACGTGTAGATTAGATGGATTACAGGGAAAAGGGGTAGGGAGATGGGTCTGGATGGGATGCTCTTCAGAGGGTCGGTATGGACTTCTTGGGCCAAAGGGCCTGTTTCCACACTCTAGGGATTCTATGAGATTTAGGGGCTCACAAGGAGAAATTTGGAGTAGGCAG